AGTAGAATTTTTCCTTCCACCCTCATTGGTAACTAAATACTGGCAGTTCAGTAAGAAACGATCATACCTCTCTTGTGGTTGGGTTTGCTACCGTACCTCCCCCAACACGACATCCTGTCATAAAATCAGACGGAATTTCCACCAAGTAGACCCGTGCAACTGCTCGGCAGGATTTACAGCCATTCCGTGGAGGTTAGAGCCAACTATGGCTTGGTGAGTTTCTCGTCCGTATATGTCCTACGCAGCCTGATTTCTCTTTAAGCCCTTCCATCAACCCAAAATTCAACTCAAGAGTAAACGTCTGAAGAACACTTCAGATTGAATTGCACCCTGATTAGGTCTTCCGTGTGGATCTTGCCGGTTTGCTGGTATGTCGCTTTGAAAAGCGTTTCTCGGCGTTTATCACACTACCAACAAGACAAATTGTACTTGAATGCAGGGCCAATTTAAGTAGTAAGTTTGTTTTGACCCTACCGAGTGGAAATTTACTGGAACCGTTTGAGAAGGCATTGTTCCAGAAGGGATATGTTGAAACAAGTGTTCACCGACCCATTCTTGAACGATGCTCCCATTCCTGTTCAACCGTAACATACTACTCATGAAGTTGGAAAGCAGTCCTCAAAAGTCCACGATGGGTTTCCGTATGTGTATATGTTGGGGTCCATGTGGCGCTGCGATAAACGATATAAGTGATAAGCGAGGTGATATACTCCTTTCCTGGGTGCATCCGCCCAGAAGAATCTAGGTGGACGGATGACCACCTTAAGGGATCAATGGCACCGTGCAATACTCAAACTTAAGGGCTCAAGGCCTATCAGGTTAATCACGAGAATCGTGAATCGTTAGTTCATTCGAAATATTTCTTCTGGTCAAAGTTTCTGTTTAATTGCTGAGTCAATAACCGGAGCTATCGGGGTGAATATTTGATGCCTGGGTCTGTAAAGCTCTGAACATATAGACAGACGAAAAGTGAGTGAATGATAGAAATTTACTGCAAATATCAGCGATCATCTAGAACAGAAGGTGAAAGCAAACCAACGGCACAAACTGCGTGCCAAAACAGACCGTCTACTGAGCGATTCCCTTTGGCTTGGATGAAATTCAGGTGGTACATCAGGTGATATGTCTTCTTTGGTTTTACAGCAAACATGTCCGGACACGTAAGCAAGTATTTCATGGTGATACACCCACGACCAGTGATACCAACGATGTATAATGACATAATACAGACTAATTTCGAAGCTACAGTAAACATGGCACGGCATACTGGGTCCCCTTCCGTGACAGATGTAGACCATAATATATTTACGTTGAAGACATGTTAGATGCCATGGTAAAATATTGTTTTTAAGAGATCGCGTAAGATGTCTTGTCCGCAAAGTTTTACCAAAAGCCTTGGATTTGGATATCCCTCTTTTCTGTCTACCGAACTGCTGGAACTACGTTTTTCAGATTTCCCATTCTTGACAAAATTCCCCGAGGTAACAGTTTCGGTAGCGTTTTTGCCGGATCTCTGAGTACAATTGCGGGATTTTTCATGTCTTTCGACTTTTTCCTTAATTTGAAGGAAACCGATAAATTTACCCCCATAAATCACCATCGCGGAAGCGTGGCACGGCAATTCGCGTGTAGCCAAATCTGATTGGTCAATTTTTCTGAAGCAGCTTTGGGAATCGACCAATCAGATATTTGTTACTAGTGCACGGCATTCTTTAAACTATCCGCCAACCTACGAATTATGCGTTTTTTATTCAGTAAACCATAATCAGAATCCGTATGTATCTGACTGCGAAAACACGTCTGATCTAACTGTGCGCGGTTTTCAGTGCTCAAATGGATTTTTTCAACTATGTAATTGGACTGTTGCTATTTGTTTTTGGTAAGTTAAATTGATGTTCCTCTATTTCCGATATTCTGATGTATTCTACTACAATAAAAACAATACTGCTAACTAATACAACACTAGAAATAGTCAAAATAAACTAGCAAATATCCTGTTGGTCAAAATGACATCTTTGGTTGGGGTT